ATATTATTCTTTAAATTGTTAATTAAACGCCGCCACCTAAATAATATAATAGTATATATAGTAATATAATAAAATACCATATTGTGTTGTATAATTTTTTTATTTACTTTTTTTTTTTTATTTATTTAATTTTTAATTTTTTTTTTTTGCAATAATAATATTTAAATTCAATTCATTTATTAATACAATATTTTTTATATATTTTTTTTAAATTAGGTTTTTAAAAGATAATTAAAAATGTAATTAAAGACAGTAACAGTAAATTTGGTTTATTATATTTTTTTCTTTTCAAAATTGTAGTAAAAAAGAGGGAGACATGTTAGTTATATAAATAATAATAATATTAAACATATATGATAAATCAAAATTAGATATAATTAGGTCACACCAACACAACCACAGTGCCCATAAAAAAAAAAAAGAAATAATATTATTGTTATTAAAAAATATAACAAATATTTTTGATATATTTTTATAACCACACACACTTTTTTTTATTTTTTTTTTTAATTTTGCAGAACATATAAATTAAAAATAAAACACACAAACACCTATAAATCAAAATTTTTAATTACAAAAAACCTCACACACTTATACGCACATATATAAATATAGGGCAGATAAAAACAATATTAATATAATAATAATAATAATAATAATATTAATTACGTTAACGTTATTATTATTAATAATAATAATAATAAATATTATCATCAATATCTCAAAATAGTTTTTGTTATTTGTTTTTCTTTTTAATTATTTTGCTTGTGTTTGTTATTGTTGTTAATAGCTATTGTTTCATTAACGGTTGTTATAATTTCCAATTTCAATTTTGTGCACACACATATATTCGCTCACATACACATATTATACAACAACAACCAAAAACAAAAAAACAACAAAAATAATTAAAGAAAACAATTTAGACATAACCTAGTATCAGTAGTATTATTATTATTATTATTATTGTATATATTTATAAAATCTAACAATTTCACGTATACACAATAAATAAATAAATAAATATATATATTTTTGTATTGTTTTTGTTTTCCTTTCTTTTCACTTTTTTTACTCATTCACACCTCACTCCCAATAATACTACTATATATAATAAATTATTATTATTATAATTATTTATTTTATATTGATTATATTTACTATATATATTTAAAATATGTTGTTTTAATGTTGCATATTCTTGTAAGATAAAGTTTATTATTTATTTTAATATTATTTTTTTTTTTTTTTTTTTTATTGTTTTTTTAATTTAAATATTTTATTTCTCTCTTTTTATTTTCAATATATTTAATTTATTAATATTAAATTTATTCATTTATTTTTTTTGTTTTGTTAATTAATTAATATCTTATGACCAAAAGGCATAATTAAAAACCAACAAAAAAAAAAAAAAAAAAGTAAATTGATTTTTTTACCCATTATTCTAGTATCTATTTTTATTATAAAACATATTTATACATATTATTTAAATCACATAAAAATTATATTTATATTTTAAAACACTCACATTCTGTCAAATCCCCATCATACAACAGTCTTGTTTTTGATCATTCATTAACACACAATATATAACCACACATTTACCATTCTCCCACACCATTTCCACCACTCCCACCCCCACACAGATATAAAAAAGATGTGTTAGGTGTGTTTTCCTTTAAATATTAGAAAGAATACTTTAAAATTTTGTGCATACATAGATCAATCCATCAAATAATAAATATTTATAAATTTCATCCCCCTATTTTTTTTTTCAAATTTTCTTTTAATTTGAAGCGGATTACATCCCAATTATAACTTTTCTTCCTTTTTGTTTTCCCCCCTTTGATCGTCTATTAATTAAAAAAAAAAAAAAAAGATATAAAAAAGTAACTTTTTTTTTTTTTTTTTCTCTTGTTGTATTCCTCTACTTTTTTCTTTACTCTTATTGTCTTTTCACTTATCGCCATATTAATAAATTAAAATACATTTACATCATTTGTTTTATTATATTAATCTTTTATATAGTAGTGGTGTGATGGGGTTTTTTTTTTTAATTTTTTTAATTTTTTTTTTTTTATTCATTTAAATTTTTAATTTTTTTTAAATCATATGATACACTTGTTTTGATTATATATAATCAAATATTATACACATAAATATATAAATTTTAAATAGTGTGTATCTGTTTTATTATATTATTATAATATTAATTATACCTTATATATTGTTTTTGTGTATAATAATAACAAATTTTTTTTTTTTTTTTTATAAAAAACAAAACAAACATGTATTTATACCAACCCCTCTCTTTAAATATTTAATTTTTTTATTTTTATTATTTATTTATTTATTTTTTTAATTTAAGGTTTAATTTTTTTTATTTTTTTTTTTAATTAAAAAATAATTTAATTTAAATAAAATAAAATACTAATAATATTTTTTTTTATTTTTTTTTTTTTTCAATATAATTTCTTAGCAGTTGCCAATTTTTTTTAATAATAACAATAATATAGCTCTAATATAAAGTTTTTTTTTTATGTTTTTAATTTAGATTATAATATTTAATTTATATTATAATTAATCATATATAAATCAAAAATAATATCAACAGCAAATACAATTATAATATCAAATATTAACAATAACAACAACCAACTCTATTAATATTAAATATTATAGTTTTTTTTTTTATCATAACTATATTTTTAAATCATTCATTAGTCCCTCTGTATATTAAATCCAAACCAATAATTCACTATAATCACATGTTTAAACAAATTAATTTAAGTTTTATATAAGAATCAAAATTAGTTTTTTGTTTTTTTTTAATAATACATTTTTCAATAAAATAAATTATATATCTTTTTGTCTGGTTGGTTTTTTTTTTTATTCCATTAAATTTTTATTTTAAATAATAGTAATTTAATAACAAATAAATAATTAAATAAAATAGCAAAAGAAAACATAGTAAATAATGATGGAAGATTATTTTATTTTATCAAAATGTGGCCAAGGTACATATGGGTCAGTTTTTAAAGCTATACATAAAAGTTCAAATACTTTAGTAGCATTAAAACAGATTAGCGATGTTGCACAAGAAGATGGTGTAAGTATTCATATACCTAATACTAGTATAAATATCATATGTAAAATTAAATATTAATATTTTTATTGATAAATATTTTAGACACCAGTCGAAATTAAATATTTAGTTCAACTAAGAGATTTACCAAATATAGTATATTTAAGAGATTATTTTTATTCACAAGTTGATGGAAATAATGTATTATTTCTTGTTATGGAGTATATTGAAGGTGATTTATGGAAGATAATGTCAAACCCACAATGCAGTTTAACAATTGGTCAAATTAAATTATTTACAAGACAATTACTAGAGGCAGTCAAGCAATGTCACATTAAAGGAATTATGCATAGAGATATAAAACGTAAGTTAATTAATAAAGTTGGATGACAGATTCGATAAAATAAATATTAATTATGTTTTTTTTTTTAATTTATTATTTTATAGCTGCCAATCTATTAATCGATTTAAATGGTGAATTAAAATTAACAGATTTTGGATTATCAACTTCCTATACACATAAATACGAAAAATATCTTTCAAACAATGTAGTTTCATTATATTATAGACCACCAGAGTTACTATTAGGAACAATAGCTTATGGTCCAGAAATCGATATGTGGAGTGTTGGATGTATATTAATGGAAATGATTAATAACTCTTATTTATTTGCTGGTTCCGATGAAACTGGACAGTTAGATTTAATTTTTAAAATGTTTGGCTATCCAAATGAAAAGAGTTGGCCAGGAATTGCACAATTACCAGGTTGGAATAGTTATATCAATAGAAAACAACAATCAACATCACCATCCTCTTCATTAACCTCAACTCCTTCATCATCACCATGTCCATATAGTTTAACAATCAAATAATCAAAATAATTAAATAATCATC